TTGGTCTGTGAGGGTATGCAACTATAAGACATCAATTAATATAGACACATACACATATACACAAGTAAAGTGATAATAATGAATTTTGGTGGCACATTCCTTTAATCCCAGTACTCTGGAGGCAGGAGTAAGCAAGTCTCAATGAGTTTGAGGCCAGCCTGGTCTACACAACAAGGTCAAGGTTACATAGTGAGATCCTGCCTTGACAGAAAAGTTACTTCCTTTCTTCCCTTGCATAAAGCAACAGAATATAAAACAATCCAATCCAAAAACTTTAATAGAGTCCAATTTTAAGCAGAAGTAATATTTTAGTAGTAAGCCTTGAAAATATCAGTGGACATTTTCTATAAATGTTTAGGTCAAATATATCTTCATTTTAACATCCTGCTGGAGCTTTGTAGATACTGGTTTTTGCTGGTCAGTTTATCAGATGACAAATCTCCCCCTCTTCCCCTACCCCCTCTGAGACATGGTCTCACTGTGTAGCTCTTGCTGGCATGGAACTAGCTATGTAGACCAGGCTAGCCTTGAATTAGTAGAAATCCACTGACCTCTGCTTCCTGAGTGCTGGAATTAAAGGTGTGTACCACCATGTCCAGGCAACAAGACTTTGTGCTGTTCGAAGGTAGTATGTGAAGTCCCTAGAAAATTCCTCCAAAAGATGCTTCAAGATCAGGTTGAAATTTTAGGTTAGGCTATAGGTGAAAGGAAAAATGGGATAATTGGGCAACAGAGGAGTAGCAGAGGAAGGAAGACCAATGGAATCTACGTAGAGTGAACGCTTGCTCTGAACTCACTGGGCACGTGTGTGAGAGGCGGAGGGCTCCTCTCACACACACTTGGGGATAACATGATTGGAGGCCTGGGTCCAATCCCACCTCTGCTGATGGGCTAGGACATGTCCAATTGAATCTCATGAGCTGAGAGATGGGAGTTTTACGAAGCTGCTCGGTGAGAATGGAGTAAATGGGATTAGCTGGGGGAGTCAAGAGAGAACACAAAAACTGAGGCTTCCAGACACCAAGATGATCTCAGTCAGAGAGAGGTAGGACTGTGAACAAGACACAAGAGCTCTCTGTGAGCGCTCTGTGTTTGTAATGGCAATGGCATCTTTGGGGATGGAAGACCATTCATTTGATGACTGATAAGGCTGGTAGCAATACTAACTGTGTAGCATCCCAGTATAGCCCACCTCCCCCCATTGACATGGGAGTTTGAGGCTGTGATCCTCAATATGGGTTACCTTGAAATCACTAAAATAATAGCTTTGGGCTTCCAAATATCACTTGTGACATTACTGGATGCAGAATTCCTAAATTTTTTCTTTTCTTTTTTACCACTTTGTGAAAATGGTGTTCCTATTTATGGTGTCATCTGGTACCTACCGCCTTGATCTAGTTGGGCTAAATGGTGAAGATTTAATATGGACAAAACTTGAGAGACGAGGAATGTCGTTGGAAAAGACCAGACCAGGGACTTGATGTGGTAGGCACTTTCTCACCTCCCAGGCACTTGTCATGACTTGAACATCTAGAACAAAGATTTAGAAATACCTTCTGTATAACTGGCCCCAAACTGCAAGCTGGCCCATTTACCTGTTACTGGAGAAAGAATTTCATTGTGGAATTTATGGTGGAAAAAATGGTTGCATTGGTATGTGTGTTTAAAGAATTCTCCAGAGTGATTTTATCTGCAGGTGGGTTTCTCCACACAAGCTGACATGAAACTCTAAGCTGTGTTTATATTCACCCTGAGTTTTGTGCAGCTGGGCTCAAGAGGGCGTGGGGGGTGGGCAGCGCCTCAATAGTGACTGACAGCTCTGTAGGAGGGCACTTTAGGAAGAGGGTGGTGGCCGCTTTTGTTTCAACTTCGTGTTGAGAATTTCTGAAGGAATAAGTCCCTCTCTGAACAGAAGGTGAGTTTCCCAGGAGAGTGAGGGAGACAGGCTCAACGGAAAACAGCTGACCTCAGCACATTATCCACAGTCTCAGGGCACATGTGAGGTCCACAGACATCACCCTCTGTTTTGATATTCTCGGGTCTCCGGTCCCTTCATTGTTCCTTCCTGCGACTCTCTCCAAGGCTACCTAGTCCGCTTTGGAACTGTGGCCACTTGCATTATCATGCAAATTACGGTTCACTTCATTCCCAAACTGCCCTCTGCTCCAGTACCTGTGTGGCTCATTGGCTTCCTCTCATATCCACCAAACTGTAATGAAGCCATAAAATGTACTGAACTCTGACCCTACAGCCGGGCACTGTAGAACCGGAAGTGTTCCTCTTAGAATGAGAGGTCAACCCTCATGACAGCCAGAAGCATCCTTAACTCGAGTTTTGTACCTCGTTGCCCGTCTGGAGTGTCTCCTGAAATTTAAGGTCTATTCTCTAACTGCCTGGAGGCTACTGCCCTCCTTCAATTTTCTGACGTCATCTGTGTCTAGGTAGGAGAATATGCTCACATCAGACAGCACAGCTGCTGTTGTTTGAAGTTCACATTTGACTGGATACACCCCCTTTCCCAACAGCTGTGAACATGTCTGCTGTGGTCCTTTGATGTGACGTCTACCTGGCTTGTCTACCAAGCCACCTCAACATCCTCCGGTATATCTTCCCACAGTTCACCATGAGCTGCCATTCCAGGTTTCCTCCATCTTCAAGTTGTCATACTTTTGTTTTTGTTTTTGTTTTTTGTTTTGTTTTGTTTTTTGGTTTCTCGAGACAGGGTTTCTCTGTGTAGCTTTGCGCCTTTCCTGGAACTCACTTGGTAGCCCAGGCTGGCCTCGAACTCACAGAGATCTGCCTGGCTCTGCCTCCCAAGTGCTGGGATTAAAGGCGTGCGCCACCACCGCCCGGCTTCAAGTTGTCATACTTTTATACCAGCTGCCTAGAGATAATATAGTGAGCTAATGTTTTTTTTTTTTTTTTTGGTGTGTGTGTGTGTGTTTTGTTTGTTTGTTTGTTTTTTTGTTTTTCAAGACAGGGTTTCTCTGTGTAGCTTTGCGCCTTTCCTGAAACTCACTGTGTAGCCCAGGTTGGCCTCGAACTCACAGAGATCCACCTGCCTCTGCCTCCCAGTGCTGGGATTAAAGGCGTGCGCCACCACCGCCCAGCTGTGATCTAATGTTTTAAGTGGGCATATACTTCTTGCACATGGGAAATAGTCCTTAGAGCTATCCTTAGCTGGTTATTAAGGTAGAATTAGTATTATTAGAAAGTGACATTTATTCTGTAAAATAGACTTAATAAATAATCGAATATAATCAGCATGCCATGTTGCATTTAAATACAAACCAGCTAAATGCAACATTCTTGTCGCATCTTCTATTTGATAGGTCTCTCTTAAAGGAATGCCATGTGTGTCGGTGAGGTGGCTCAGTGTCTGAAGTCACCTGCCACCAAACCTGATGACCTGAGTTGGATCCCCAGACCCCACATGGCGGGAGGAGAGAAACAACTCTTGGACTGTTGTCCTCTGACATCCATATGTGGGGCATGGCATGTGTTCCCCTTCCCCCAAATAAATAAATAAATGAATAAACAAACACATAACTTAAAAATTTAGAAAAGAATGCCTTCTAGTGGTTGTAGGTCAGTGGTAGAACACTTGGGAACCATCCATAAGAGGTCCTGACTTTGATAAGCAACATGACTCATACACACCTGCAAACACACGCATGCGCACACACACACAGAGAACAGATTGATAGATAGCCTTTCACTCAACAAGTGCCCAGTCTGATTCATGCTCCTTCAGTGAATTTTCTGTTACCCCACGAAACACGGAGGGTACTCACTATCCTTGTTTATTTCAAGCAGCTTCTTTGGGGGCATGGTAGTGCTAGAGAAGGGTAGAAAATATAGAAATATAAAAACCACTCATTATCTATCACATTCTCATATATCTTGCATAACCTTTTTATACATGCCAATATGTGAGATCTTTTAAAGACATTGGGTCAGATTGTTCATAGTTTGCCTTTTCTTTTCTTTCTTTCTTTTGGTTTTTTCCGAGACAAGGTTTCTCTGTGTAGTCCTGGCTGTCCTGGAACTTGCTCTGTAGACCAGGCTGGCCTTGAACTCACAGAGATCCTCTTGGCTCTGCCTCCCGAGTGCTGGGATTAAAGGTGTGCGCCACCACCGCCCGGCCATAACTTGCTTTTTCACATCAGGATGTATTATGTGACCTTTAGTTTCATAGTATTCCATTATATGAATTAAGAGTTATTTACTCAATCAATTGCATGCTGTTGGATATTTTGTCTGCTTCTATTTACTTATTTTTCTCATGCTCTTATTTTTATACATATTTTAAAAAGCCAAATGATTTCTGAAAGCAGGCAAAAGAGATAATTTACAATAAAGTATTTTTGTGCGTTTGTGGTGAGAGACACACATCTTCGCTTGGGTGTTTCTGGGAGCTGGAGGTTGGTATCAGTCTCTCACTAAACCTGGAGCTCATCCATGCACTTAGGTCAGCTGTGCAATGTGCTCCAGGGAGCCCACTGTCTCTGTTCCTGACTGTCTCCCCGTCTCTGCCTCCCGCCCTGCACTGGGGTCTCCGCACTGCCCAGCTTTTACATGGGTGCTTGGTATCCAAACTCACATTTCCACACTTGCTCAGCAGGCTCTTTACTGACTGTCCCTATGATAAAGTATTTTCTGTTTTTATTTTATTATTTACTAAGAAATTTTTTATTCATTTTATACATACCAACCACAGATCCCCCCTCATCTCTCCTCCCGCTCCCCTCAAGCCTCCCCCTGCCCCAGTCAGCATTTTCTGTTATTAAACAGACAAGGAATGGTTTCACTAGTAGCTAAACACAGAATCTGAAGCTTTAAAAATGAACTGGTGAAGGTTCTCGAAGCGGCAACCTCTGATGCTGGAAATACAGTAGGAGGCACTCGGATGCCTGCTGCTGGCCGTTCGGTTGATACAACTTCTGTGGGCACTGGGGTTTCTCTCTCCCAACATCCATTTTTCCTCTTTCTGTTAACAGCATTCAAAAGCCCACCATATTCCTGGGAGGAATCCCATCGCCTCTTCTGAGTCTTTGGTATTGAGGGATGATGAGTCTTCCTCCCAAGCTTACATAAGGACGTCCATTCCCTAGCCACATGATTGATTGACTCAAGGATGGTCCCAGCTCCCTTGCTTGGACCAAATGATTCTCAGGACTTTCTGGGGACTACTGAGAAGAAACAGTGACTCTTTCTGCAGCTGCATCTAAACTGGCAACATATAGCTGAGACTCCTGGGGCCTCCAATAGAGAAAGCGTAAGTGAAAATGAAGATACACAGAGCTGGGGATGGAAAGAGATGGGGATCGGGATTGAGCAACACACAGAAGTTAATCGTTTCCTTGAGTCAAGAATCTCTTTTCAGCTTAAACCAATTTGAGTCAGAATTCCTGGCACTTCACCTGAAATAATCCCAATTTCTAAAGACTGTCCAGACATTGAAATATGTATATATACCTCCCAAATGCATATATGTTTAAGATATTTACTAGCATGTAAATATATATAATACATATGTGTACATATGTGTGTATATACACACACATTTGTGGTTTTTCAGATAGTAGTGGTTTGTTCTTCTCTCACTAACTATTCTCCTAAATGTGTCTTGGACCCTCTTAAGAATCAGAAAAGGCAGTGACCCACCCCCCAAAACAAACAGATGCACAAACACAGAAAAGCAGATAGCATTTTAGTAGAATCCCAGGGTCATCCATGGACTAGATTAGGAACTCTCAGGGGCTGGAGAGGTGGCTCAGTGGTTAAAAACACTTGCTTCTCTTTCAGAGGACCTGGGTTCAGTTCCCAGCACCCACATCAGGTGGCTCACAGCTGTCTATATCTCCAGCTCCAGGGGACCCGACACCCTCTGGCCTTCAAGGGTACCTCCATGAATGGAGAGCACATCAATTTACCCAGGTGCACGCACAGACACATAAAGAAAAAGAAATAATACAAATTAAAAAAAAATTTAAAAAGGCCTCTGGTTGTCGAGGTGGGGTGGTTGCTGCATGGTAGAGCACTTGCTGAGCATGTGCAAGGCACTGAGTTTGATGATGCTTAGTGTCTGCATAACAGTTTCCTGGATTACTGCCTCCTAGTTCACATGACTGCAGGCCAATATGTTTAGAAGGAGGCGTTGGTATCCAGTTGTGTGTGTTCAGTGTGTGGCTCTGCACACTTCCTATGAAGTCAAACGTAAAGATGAAACAAGATGCTCTGGAGAGTGCATCACACACACCAGATGCTCATGCTTTTGTTTTCAATTCCCTAATTGTTTCCTTGGGATAAACACCCGGAGAGAGAATTTCTGGGTCGAAGTGGATACACATTTGTAGGGTGGGTATTGTCTACTACCAAGTTTTCTTCTAGAAAAGAGAAACCGACAAGATGGAGGTGGAGCTGCTTGCAGCATACCTCTGCTCCCTCCCATCATCTTATTCATTTGAATCTTTTCCAATGCTAAGAAAAACGTCCTCAAATTGCTACAGTTTGATTTATTTGGCTATAAGTGCATAGGAGTGTTTTCTATAAGTGCAACTGTTTGTATTATTTCTTGTGGTCTTGTGTGTATGCATATCATCTGCATTTTTCCCTATTACACTCTATTTTTCAGGGCTGGGCATTGAACCCAGGACCTCGTGCGTGCCAAATAAGCACTCTGTTGCTGACTACTTCCCGGCACTGTTTGTTCTTAGGAATATGTAAACCTGCCTTGTAAATTACTGACATTAGCTCTTGACTTTATACACACGCAAAATGTGTAATTATTTTTGTTTCATGATTTGCTTTTGATTCTTTTAAAAATATGGTTTCATTATATCAAAATTAAAATTTTTTTTAGATTGTTACATCTTCCAAGTGTCCCATTAGGACCATTCCCTCTACTTCTTGGTTTAGAAGATACTCTCTGTTCAAGGTGAGATAAATTCTTGCCAATACCTTCCCTATATTTTGTTTCACATTCGCATTAACTTCCTGGAAGTTAAGACTATTCGCATAGTCTTCCTGGAATTATGATAAGACTCTAAATGTCTTGCCCCCAAATAGTACGTTTTCCGAGTTCTGTGTGTATTTCTCCATTCCAAGTGTTCTTTCTCCTGGAGTGGACCAGGCCTGCCTTGGTGTCAGTGAAAGGAAACAGCAGTAGTGGCAGATGTGAAATGTCCCAAATCGTTTCATCGTTGATAGCCTACCTAAAGGCTGAGCTCTGTCTCCCAGTCCTGGAAGTGTCCCCTCGAGAGTGAGATGGTCAGAAAGGAGAGGGTAGGTAAGAGCACTGTCCTTTACCCGGGCAGTAGCCACTGCAGCAGAGGTGACAGCAGGTCACAAAGCCCCCACAGGTGGAGGCTGAGCAGGATCTGGAGCTTCTCCTTTCCGGTCCAGCCCTTTGTGTTTTCGTTCTCGCCCATTGTACAAAATGCCTCCCAGATCCACACACCCCCCCCCCCAAGCCCCAAGAGGAGCTGGTTGGTCTGCCTGTAATTACTGCTTATTTGATTTGTGGGTTTTAATATCTTTAACATGAGGAGGAGGAGGCATTCTAAAGCAAACAGACTTGGTGCCTAATCAACTGAGCCCCAGCTGCGCCCTCGGCCATGTGTTCTCGGCTTATCTCATCCCATGACTTAAGAATGTAAGCCCGTGTGAGTGACCTTTCTGTCACTATCACCAAATACCTGAAATAACTCATGAAGAGAAGAGAGAGGGTCATTTTAGCTCAGGATTTTGGAGGTTTCAGTCCATGCTTACTTAGCTGTGTTGCCTTGGGGCCTCTGGTGAGCTGCGCATCATGGTGGTAGCAGACAGTTACACTGTTCATTTTATGGTCAGAAATCAAAAAAGAGGGAGCAGGGGCTAGGATCGATCTCACAGTTCATTTTGCAAGCCTTCTCTCAGTGACTTAAAGTGCTTCCGATAGGCCCCACCCCTTCGTGCTCCCACAACCTCAATACAATGCCAGACTGGAACTGAATCTTTAGTATGTGGGCTTTGGGGGAACAGTCAAGATCACAACTGTTGCAGGACTCAGTATCAGGTTCAGCCACCCGATCGTGTGATAAGATGGCACCATCTGGATGTACCCAGCTTTTGAGCGGTACAGCTAACTCATCACACATCTGACCCTTTTACCCTCATCGGTCTTGAAAACTTGAGTATTTCTCATCACAGTCGGCTTCCTTCAAAGCTTTACACAAGTAAATGCACATTTTCTGAGTTTAGGATATTTGAAAAGAAGCGTGAGGACAGATTGTGTTCCTAAACGTTTGCTGAAGTCCTATCCTCCTTGAATCAACAGCTTCAGTACATGTATTCATTTAGCATTATTTTTCATATTCTCTACCATTTCCGTGAGACTTGGGGAGGAATGGGGTGTAAACACCAGGGCTCAGGGCATCACTGGGCCATGGAGGTCCCCCCATCTCTCTGGGAGGGAGACAGGAGTCACTTCTTGGCGTGGGGGGGGGGGGGGATTTCACTCTGTCTTGGCTTTGCTGAGGAGGAAGCCCAGCCTGGGCCCTGACTTTAGACTAGATATTCCCACGCTGGCTTGTACAACTCAGCCGGCTGTCACTGCTGTGGCTACTCCAGGGATATTCTCTCCTCCTTAAGAGATGGGTTCTGTGTAGGAAAGTCCTTTTCCTTTGACACGCCCATGACATGGAGTGATGGACTCCACGTCGCTGAGTCTCCGTCTCCGTTGCTATGAACTGATTTGATTTGTTTGGGGATTAGCCTGTCTGAAGGCAGGAATCTCCTCACTTTGTTTCTCTTCAGTCCTGTAATCCCAGCGCTGAGACTTTACAACACTTCATAAATCTGTGACCACAGAAATGTCTTCTCTCTGCCTGCCAGTGACTTCTTTAAACTTTTAAAAATGTTATAAGCTATGACATATATTTTTTTAAAAAAAAAACACCCTTGCAGCCGGGCGGTGGTGGCGCATGCCTTTAATCCCAGCACTCGGGAGGCAGAGGCAGGCGGATCTCTGTGAGTTCGAGGCCAGCCTGGGCTACCAAGTGAGTTCCAGGAAAAGGCGCAAAGCTACACAGAGAAACCCTGTCTCGAAAAAACCAAAAACAAAAAAAAAAAAAAAAACAAAAAAACACCCTTGCAAATAAATAAAAATTCACATACTGAAACAAGCCAGACCCAAAGTCTATACCACTTAGTCAACAGTTAGAATAGACATTTGCAACTGAAGCTGCCAATAGCTTCCTTAACACATGTCCCGTCCCACCCTCCCCCCACCCCCCCACCCCCCACTCCCCACCCCCGCCCCATGGGGACTTTTCTCAGCCCACTGAGCCAGGTACTCATAAGCTTGCTAGGGTAAGCCAAGGTGTTCTGCCTCTGATTGTAAGATTCAGGCCATAATATAGGATAACTGGTTGGCAACAAGTAATTGAGTATTTTAAAATGGGAATTGGAGAGGATTCAGTGTTCCTAACCAGAGACATTGCAAATATGTGCCGCTGATGGCTATGATCTGACCATTAGCATCGTGTCTGTGATTAAAATGTTATACTATACACAATAGATATGTACAATTGCAATGTGTCAATTAAAAATAAATACCTTTCAGTGGAATTCACAGACAGAATATCCAGTCCATGGGTTTGCCCTGGTTCTGAAACAGCACCAGGCTGAAAAAATAAAAATTAAATCATTATTATTGCTTTTTACTTGGAGACTGAACATAAAAAGCTTAACATTTTTGTTTGCAAATTCAAGCCAGATACATGTGCTGCTTCCAGACTGGCTCACATGAAGCCGGGCCCCTCTATGCCTAGAGCTGCGGACTATTTAAACTGTTTATGTATATGACTTATGTATACTTAGATAAGCTCCCCCCCCCCCCCCATTTGATGAGTCTGGCGCTCTAGATTTCATTACCAAAGAGGCCGGGTTCTGGTGTACGACTGCTGGGCGGGGTGACTAAAGATAATTGTGTACTGTGTGTTTGGAGAATCTAGGGGAAAGCGTTTGGAATATTTTCATCATAAAGAAATGTTAAATGTCGAAGGAGATACGTTCATTCAACATGATTTAACAAGAGTCTACGTATATCCAAATCTCGCTTGGGACTTCATGTTCAAATTTAACATCTGAGGTAGAAAAAATATTTTAAGAAAGAAAAAGAAAAAGAGGGAGGGCCATCAGAGAATGTGATGGGCAGCCCGGCCTGGTCTCCTCCGCCCTCTTGGGCTTTGTCGGGTCTTTGTTCCTCCCCTGGCTGCGCTGGTACAGAACCACTTAGCTGTGATTAAAAGGAGGGGGACCGACCGGGCGGCAGGGCGGGGCCTGTGGCGCGGGCAGCGACAGGGCGCGGGCGGGCTGCGTGGTGCTCAGTGCCAGCCGCCGGGCGGCATGCACACGGGAGCGAGGACCGGCTCGCCGCACCGACGCCGCCGCCGCGGGGACGCCTGACCAGACAGACGGGTGGCGGGGACCGCAGGACCGAGGGAGGAGGCGCAGCCGGGGACAGTCCCCGCAGAGCGCGCCTCGGCGACAGCGCCATGGACGGCCTGGACAACGCCACCCTGCTCCTTGACCGGTCCTCGCTGCTGCCGGACAACTTCACCCTGTCGCCCAACGCCAGCAGCCCGAGCACCGGTACCCTGTCGCCGCTCACTGCCGCCTCCAGCCCCGGCCCCGGGCTCAGTCTCGCTCCGAGTGCGAGCATGGGTTTCAGCCCCGGGCCGAGCCCGACCCCAGAGCCCACGAGCAGCAGCCTCGCGGGTGGCGTGGCCGGCCAGGGCTCCTCCTCCGCTTTCCCCCGGCCCTGGGTCCCCCACGAGCCCCCGTTCTGGGACACACCGCTCAACCACGGGCTGAACGTGTTCGTGGGAGCCGCCTTGTGCATCACCATGCTGGGCCTGGGCTGCACCGTGGACGTGAACCACTTCGGGGCACACGTCCGGCGGCCCGTGGGCGCGCTGCTGGCCGCGCTCTGCCAGTTCGGCTTCCTGCCGCTGCTGGCCTTCTTGCTGGCTCTCGTCTTCAAGCTGGATGAGGTGGCCGCGGTGGCGGTACTCCTATGTGGCTGCTGTCCCGGCGGAAATCTCTCCAACCTGATGTCCCTGCTGGTGGACGGTGACATGAACCTCAGGTATGGTCTCTTTCTCACCCCAACCCAACCCTCAGAGTTCACAGGAAGAGGGATGTGTGCAGCTGTTTGGGATGAAACCCCGAGGAGGGGAGGATAAAGAGGAGGAAGATATGGAGGTTGTGAAATCCTGGCGAACACTTAGGGGTTGGGTGTCAATGGGGGAAGATTTAGACCCGGACCTAGCTGCCTAACGGCCCTGGGATTTCAGGCATCGCTCCGGAGGGTCAGCTCATGTCTCTAGTAACTGGAAGGCAAAGAGAAGAGAGAAGTCTGAAGCTAGGACTCGAACGGAAATGCAGAAAGCAAACCAGGACTGTAGTCCCATAAAGAAAGTAATCTCGTAGAGACTGCAACATAATTGAGTTTAATCCAGCAAGTAGCATCCACCAGTTCCAGCGCTGCAGGGCATTTGGTAGGGTTAAAAGAAAAGGTTTCTTGTCCTCAGAATCAATCAGTTTCCAGGCTTTATGAAGCCCAGGGCAGCCGTCCTGGGTCCCCGGTCCTGGGTCCTGGATCCTGTCATTGTCTTGCCTGGGATTCATGTTTCTTTTACGCCAGGATAAAATAGATTCTCTGCAGACCTCAACCCTGCGGTTTGCAGTGCCCCCAGCTCCCTTCCCCTCTACGTAACAGGTAAGGGAAGACGTGGCAGGCTCTTTGGCTCAGAGCCCTTTCTGACTTCTGTTCACACCTTTTTGCAGCATCATCATGACCATTTCCTCCACGCTTCTGGCCCTGGTGTTGATGCCCCTCTGCCTCTGGATCTACAGCCGGGCTTGGATCAATACCCCTCTGGTGCAATTGCTCCCGCTAGGGGCAGTCACCCTGACTCTCTGCAGCACTCTCATTCCCATTGGGCTGGGCGTCTTCATCCGCTACAAATACAATCGGGTGGCTGACTACATCGTGAAGGTAAGGTCTCTCTTCCCTTCCAGTGGCACCGACCTAGAGTCTGGTCTCTGGAGAGGAGCTGACATGCTAGGAGGTTTGGAAAGCAGGGAAGGGACACACTTAACAAGTTTATACGACAAAGGCTGATTCATGACAAACCTAATAATGTTCTCAGTGGGCTAATAGATATAATTAAGTCACAGCCAAAGTTAGGAAGAGAGGCGCAGGTTGTAATCCCAGCGCTCGGAGGGTGACACAGGAGGGCTGGATCTGAAATCCATTCTAGATTACAAAGCAAGAGAACCCCTTCAACGTTGTTTCTCAACCTGTGGGTCGCGACCCCCTGGCCAATCTCTAGTTCCAAAAAATATTTACATTACGATTCATCGTAGTAGTACAATTACAGCTGTGAAGTAACAATGAAAATAATTTTACAGTTGGGGATCACCACAACATGAGGAACTGTATTAAAGGGTCACAGCCTTAGGAAGGTTGAGGACCGCTGCTCTATCACATCTGAAAATTAACAGTAGTGTAGAGATCTGTTAGTACTCATAGATTCATGGGGACATAGTGCAATCAAATGGCAAGCATTGCAGGGCATAGTGGCACATGCCTTTAATCTAAGCACTTGAGAGACAGAAGCAGGCAGATCTCTGTGAGTTCAAGGCCAGCCTGGTCTACATAGTGAGTTCTAGATCAGCCAGGGCTACATAATGATAACCTGTCTCCAAACAAACAAATAAAACAACACAAAAACGGCAAGCATTTCCTACTAACTGAATAGGACTAAAATTCAGAGCAGGTTAAATAAAATTATTCGAAACACTTATAGTGCATTAGTATATTTTCAAGTGGAACTCTAATTCTGAGGAAACCAAACCTGCAATAGGTACCCTTAAATATCTTCTTAATTAAAAAAGTTGAAATTAGCAGGATAGTGTGTCAATATAATAGAATATAACAAAATGTTGGTCTCAAAGCACAAAATAAAACTGGGTCCTGGGTAGTGTAAATGATATTGTCGTTTCTAAACCTGTGTATCTTTTTCCTTCCCTGTTGCATTATTTTATATAGTTTTTCAAGTTATGAAATGATGAAGGATTACTATTACTAGGGAATATTTCTAACATAGTTTTATTTTTAAAGTGGATATTTTATCAACATATACTTTCTAATAATTGACCAGAAAATATTCATTTTACTTCTTTTGAAAAGTGAGAGAAGGTGAAAACAGAAATGTTCATTTTAGGAAGTAAGCTAACCAAAATACACAACTAACTAAACTGTGGAGACAAGTTTCTTTCGACAAGAAAAAAAGCCATTTCAGTGTTATAGTTATGCAGACTTCGGAATATAGAAACTTTTTTGTTTTACTTTTATGAACTTATTTTCTACGTACACAGAGGAGGCAACTTCCCCTAGCCAGAGAGACAGAGGGTTCAGTTCTGTACACAGATCTAGCTCTAAGTGAAAGAAAGCCTATACAATTACCAATATAGAGTATAATAAACACCTAATTATATGTAGACAGTATCTCCAGAGATGGTCTTGAGACGCAGTCAGGTAGCTAAACCATGAGCTACTGTTTTATTACTAACCCAATGTCACTTATCATGAAAGTTAAGGAATTCCAGGAGTAAGACAGTCAATGAGGAACTTATGCTCTAAAAATAGAAGAAATGTGTTAAATAAGACAATTACGGTGAGTTGGCCTCACTGGAAAGATGAGGCTGGCATAATCAGGAAATTTTGAAAACACTGAAAATGAGCCTTCCCTCTCAGTGCCCACCCATATGGCCTTTTCATCTTTTCTTTCTTCTTTTTCTAAATTTTAAATTGCTTAAAGGGATTTTGTAGGTGGACTCCTCAGAATGAAGAATTGGAATTCCTGCTGGTGCTTTCAATATGATACACTTCGAAACTTAATAAAAGTGTTGATTTGTGATAGTTCTCTGCCAGCTGTGCACATATTTTTATAGACCTTAGGAAATTACTTCAGTATCTTCAAGAGTTGAATTTCTGATCAGCCTAGATCAATTAAAAAAAATTCCCAAGACAGGGTTTCTTTATGTAGCCCTAGCTCTCCTGGAAGTCACTCTGTTGACCAGGCTGGCTTTGAACTCAGAGATCCACCTGCCTCTGCCTCCCGAGTGCCGAGATTAAAGGGGTACACCAGCACTGCCTGACTCAATTTTAAATATTTTCAAAAGAGCATCAAGTACATGTCAGTGCAGAGACTCCCCAATGATGCCTCTCTCATACGCTCTTCAGGGAGGCAGAATTTACTCCTCAGCTTTCTTGGATCACTAGTGCCCTCACACTCCATGGGAAAAGAACAACGTAACTACCTATCTGAAGGGGACTAGCGACATTTTTAGATTTCTTCCTCATCTCTATGAATCCTCTTTTATTTGAATGAGTGAAATGTACCAGTCAGAACCCCAAGAGGGCCCATTTTACCCAACCAATAGCAGTATACCTAGAGCCTTCCTCTTGTAATACTTCCTAAGAATCATTAGAAACTTAGGAGATTTTTTTTTCATGGATAAATGAAAGAGTAGAGTTGCAGAATTACAAAGAATTCATCACATCTTACACTTTCATTCTTGATAATTTTTCCATATTGCTGGCCATCTTTAGAACTATACGTTGAAAGTTAAAAATATCCTAAACTAAGTTAATTTTTATTGTAAACTTAACAGCCTTTTATCTATATTAAAATGAGAACTAATTTCATGTGGAAAGCACAGGATTCAGGAGAGGTAAAGATTAAATTGTCCAGTCTAGTCCTTGGGCTCCATTTTAAAGAGGCATGCCAGTAAATTAAACATATATGCCGAGTGCTAAAGGTTGTAAGACCCAGGCTAAGAGGCTGAGCGACAGTCTGCCTAAAAACAGGAACCATCCCCTGATCACCGGTTTACCATTTGAAAGACTTTTTAGAGGGAGTAGACTGCTCTTATATTGCTCCATCCAAGGCAAAGGCCAGAGCTCAGAGAAAGTAAATTGTCACTGGATATCAGGCCACGCCCCTGAGCAATTCCGTCTAACATGGAGTTCCAGCCTTCGGGCGGACTCTGTCAATCACCTCCATTTTGTGTGGGAGGTACCACCCCCTTGCCTGCATTCCTCCTCCAGGATGGCATTGCTGATAGTCTGCCTATCTACTTTCTCTTATCAGGTTTCCCTGTGGTCTCTGCTAGTGACTTTGGTGGTTCTTTTCATACTGACTGGCACCATGTTGGGACCTGAACTGCTGGCAACGATCCCGGCAGCCGTTTATGTGATCGCCATTTTTATGCCTCTGGCAGGCTATGCCTCGGGCTATGGCTTAGCTACTCTCTTCCATCTTCCACCCAACTGCAAGAGGACTGTATGCCTGGAGACAGGGAGTCAGAATGTGCAGCTCTGTACCGCCATCCTCAAACTGGCCTTCCCACCACGCTTCATAGGAAGTATGTACATGTTTCCTCTGCTTTATGCCCTTTTCCAGTCCGCAGAAGCAGGGGTTTTGGTTTTAATATACAAAATGTACGGGAGTGAGATACTGCACAAGCGAGATCCCCTAGATGAGGATGAAGACACAGATATTTCTTATAAGAAACTGAAAGAAGAGGAAATGGCAGACACCTCCTATGGCACAGTGGGAACAGATGACTTCGTAGTGATGGAGACTACCCAGACCTCCCTCTGAACGTGGAGATACACGTAGGAGCCTCCATTTGGCTGAATTACTACTTCCTATTTACGACCTGTGGTAGCTCATATATGGTTCACATCCAGGATAAAGATGGGTTTACAGTTCATGTAACAGATTTGATCTTCCTGCTGTAATGTTGTGTCTCAGTGTTAACCATGTGTTTTTATGAATTACCAGTGTTCCAATATTGCTTGCACCGGGGTCAGCTAACGTGCACCTCCTCTGGTTAAGCCTGCTGTGTGGTTTCTTTGCCATTCCCACCACCGTTGCTACAGATAAGCACTGTATTAGAAGACTGGGGTTGGAAATGTAGATGTCTGGTGCATATATGAGTAAAACTGTAAAACAAAAACATGTGTTTGCTCAACTTACAAACACCTGCTGAGATTCATTCAGTACTAGCCTGTATTGAGACAAGTCCAAAACAGGTCAATGAGACTGAGATATAGCATTTCATCAAGCCGCTATCAAACCAGAGAAAATCACATTCTTGTATTTGACTACTTGATCTAGTATCTTTTTTTTTTGTTGTTAACGACTGCCAGCATTTTCCAGGGATGAAGGCATTTTTTTCCTCCATCCATTCCCTGCATTTGTGTAAACGCATCTCAGATCCACTTATCGTTTGAGGGAATGATTTACTTAGGGAAATTTGTAGACCTCACCCCAAAGGAGAGAAAACAGGTACCCCTGTTCACTCCTAGGGAAGGGCTGTAGCTACAGGCTCCCTAAGGGGCATCCCTTCCTGAAAGGGCCGTGGGTGGACACTGCTCCACGGTTCTGAGCTAAGTGAACTGTGACCTGAGACAACAGATACAGAGGCTCAAAGCAGGCCCCTACCTCGGTATTTTGCTCCCTAATCAAGACACCGTGCCTGCCTCTCCTTCCTCATGGCAGACATCTGGAGGCACGAGGGCATAGGGGCCACCTGGCTTGGCTAATCCCGGTGATGATTCTCACCCGGTGGAATTCTCGCCTCGGCGAGTTCCCCTACAAATCGCTACTGTGCCTAGCAAGGAGAGCCGTCTTTCCGCCTCCTCGTGGGGGTTGCCGCCCACCGGTGTAGGAAGAGGCTGGGGAGGGTTCCGCTCCGCGTCTCAAGGGGTGGCAGGGCTTCTCCCGCCGGGGCGCGGCCACCTATTTAGCGGGACGTGGCGAGCAGCTGGACCGAGCTGATGGCTGCCTGGGCGGGCGAGGCGCGGGACGCACACATGTTCCCGGCGAGCATGCCCCACTCGTGTCCGCATCCCTACCCGCCAGGCGACAAGGCCCGGGAAGGTTGGCGGTTCCGTGCCGGGGGCTACCGGCCGGGGCCTCCCTCCTTCTTCCCGGGCTGCGGGAACCTGAGCGCCACCGAGTACTTCGACAGTTACCGGCGGGCGCAGCTCATGGCCCTGTTGTCGCGGATGGGTCCCCGGCCGGTCAGCAGCCGCGATGCCGCGGTGCAGGTGAACCCGCGCCGCGACGCCTCGGTGCAGTGCTCGCTCGGGCGCCGCACGCTGCAGCTCGGACAGCGCCGGCCCGGCCCCGAGGTCCGGCCGGGTTCCCGCCCACCCTGCAGCCCCGCCGGCGCCCGGAGGCTCCCGCGCTCCTGGCGCACTGTCGCCGTGTACTCGCCGGTGGCCTTCTGTGGCCTCGCCTCTCCGCTGGAGGGCGGGCAGAAGCCCACCGAGGGTGAGCCGGGGCCGGCACCCGCGGGGACCTGGGAACCGGAGCCGGGAAAGGGAGAGGTGGCGGCGAGGAAAGAAGTCCCCGAGCCGTGCAACAAAGGGGGCGACGTCCAAGACGAAGGGGAGGCCGGGCAGGAGCAGCCGCTGCGGGAGGACCCGGACAGTGGGGCGACCTCGCAGTCTGAGCCCCGGAGTCAGGAGCTGCGTCCTGCCGCAGAGACGGCTCAGGACACGGGTGACTCGGCCTCCTCGAGAAACGGGGTCTCCCCGCAGAGCACGGAGTCGGACAAGGAGCGCCTGCGCTTCCAGGTGAGGCTGGATGGGCCCCAGAAGCCTCCAGACTTGGGGGTCTCCTTCGGGGCTAAGTTTGGGGGCCCAGGGCAATGCATGGCATAGCATTCTTCAATGTCATCAATGTGTATGCTTTTTTTTTTTTAACGTGTATGAATGTTTTGCCTGCGTGTGTCTGCGCTTGGTGGTGGTGGAGGTGTGGGAGCAGAAGGTGGGGATGCCCTGGGACTGGAGTTTTACAGATGGTTGGGAGCCGCCATATGGGTTCTAGGAACTGAATTAGAGTCCTCTGGAAGAGCAGGGCGTGCTTTTAACAGCTGATTCAACTCTCCAGCCCCGCGGGAAACAGGATCTTGCAGTCGCTGTTATTGCAGAGGGAGGCGTTTACACAATAAAACCAACACATACGTGGCCCGACTCACTGGGAGTCTGTTTTTTGGGAAATGCCAGTGTAATTACTTTATTCGGATCACATGCACGCCATAAATAAGGCCCCCCGTGGTGGACGCACAGCCAGGTCTGACTGGACCACACTTCAGATGGCTGAAGGAAGATAAGTCCGCACACCGGGGAGCATCAGCTGGTGAACTTGATCGCGGGACAATCAATTCCCAAGGCCCCGCTTCTCATTTTCCCACTCGAGGCGGGAAAATCTGAGTTGACTAACAGGGTCCTCCTACCAGATCCTTCCTGATTTCTGAAGCTGTCAACTGAAGCTTCTCCCCGCTAAACTTGCCCTACTTTAAAAAGCTCTCGATTCATCCCGCATAAGCCTTTGGGCAGTCCTGAGTTGCTGCCTAGGCTAGCCAAACAAGGGCCAGGGGCACAAGGAGGGCAGTTGTAACTCCCAAGGAAATGGGGAAAGAGGAGCCATAGGAAAGGGCTCCTAGGAATTAATTCCTCACTTCCCACAGTTATCTGAAGATTGTGTTCTGTGTTTGGGGTGGAGGGAGGAAAGACAGACCTTCCTAAAAGCATTGGCCATTGCCGTTCACAGTTGAGTGTGATCTAGGCAAAAATCTCAAGCTTTTTTTTTGGCCTCCATGGTGTTTGCTTACCTATAAATTGCATAAAGTGCTCTTCTAAGCTCCTACCAGTCCTAAAGGCTTAATGGGGAAAACTTGTTCCCAACTTGTTTGTCGCCAAGTAGGAAGATGGGACATTTAAGAATCGGGTGCTGCTAACACTACTTAGCTCATACTAAATGGCCTGTACTCACAGATATGTAGCAGGACTTTCTGGGAAACTTAACTAGCATTGTGGAGAATTTAATGTTCGGTTGAACACCCGAGAAAGTTTAGAAGAGTCTTTTCTTTCAGCCTGATGAATAACTTGTCATCTGCATGTGTCCTAAGATCATGTGTCACCCCACATAAGAGGCCTAAGAAAGAATCCTGAACTCTAGACAGCACTAGATACTTTCCCTTGTCTGAGGGCAAAGACTTAACGTGTCAGCCAGCCAAACGAGTCTGGTACACAAGCTGTTTTGTTTGGTCTCGGTCTACAGATTTGTTCAGTTGAGCTATTAGCTCACCTGATTGATTCTAATTTAGAGGTTGATGCAGACCTAACCTTACTTCCCCACCACGATCTAGAATGAAGTTTGGTCATTTTAAGTACCGGGTAGGCTCTGTCCCGGGTTCTAACACGAGGGGCCCTCAGGCCTCACGGGGTTAAAGTCTGCTATCCCGCTGTTCAGTTCTTAGAGCAGAAGTATGGCTATTACCACTGCAAGGAGTGCAATACCCGATGGGAGAGTGCCTATGTGTGGTGTGTGCAGGGCACCAGCAAGGTAAGAGGCGCTGTGGGGCTGGCCCGTTCCCGTTCCCACCATGCTGCTGCTGGGCATCTGCTCCACGTGGACGCTCTTTCTTGTCGCAGGTGTACTTCAAACAGTTCTGCCGAGTGTGCCAGAAGTCTTACAACCCCTACCGAGTGGAGGATATCACCTGCCAAGTAAATCACACAAGGTTTTGCATTTTTGGAAGTGGGTTTTTTTTTGTGTACTACTTTGAATATGTTTCCTAAATGAGGCTAGGTTCCCAGTAGCCATAGGCTCATTTTTTTTTTTTGGTTTGTTTTTGTTTTTGTTTTGTGTTTTTTTTTTTGTTTTGGTGGTAGGTAGGAAGTCCCCTCCACTGTGAAAAGGGGTGTCTTCCTTTCTGCTCTTATAAAACTGGATTGTGCGGTCTCTTTTGAACCCGTTACCTTATTTGCAGTATAGAAGGCTTGCTTACCTGCCACTCCACTTGGTGTGCCGGAAAACATACTGTAAAACAGAATACCTTTCTGCGAGCTTGAGGTGGTACACTATTACCCAAATGCTTCATGGGAAGCATGTATCCAGGTTAGAGTATGAAACACACGAATTGCTTGCTTGAGAGTTCACAAAGGGAGTTTCCTGTAAGACCGTTCTAAATTCCAGCTTTATGCTTTTCACCCATAACTGTGGAGGCTAAGCATTGGCTTAGCACCGTGCATGCCAAGGGACTTAGATAATCTTTAAAAAGAAAGAAGCGACATCATTTACCTGTTAATATTAATCAGAGCTAATGGAGCCCATATGTCTATTTGAGAGTCCAGTCAATGCACTTAAGTTGGTAATTGGAGAATTCACCACCTTAGGGTGGGCACTGAGGAACCAAGGGTGGAAAACCATGAAGACTCCATTTAGGAAAGGGGGTAGTAGGCACCTTCCTCCAGTAAGGCGCCTTAAGCCACTGCCCACTTGGCCCCGCTTGCTCTGTCCTCTTACCTGCTTTGAGGCTCCACGGATCAAGGGGAAGAGGGGTCCGTTCAGCCTTTGTACTTCTCACTCTGATTTTTCAGAGTTGTAAAAGAACTAGATGCGCCTGCCCAGTCAGACTTCGCCACGTGGACCCTAAGCGCCCCCATCGTCAAGACTTGTGTGGGAGATGTAAGGACAAACGGCTGTCCTGTGATAGCACCTTCAGCTTCAAGTACATCATTTAGTCCAAGTCGGACACGTTTCTGCCAGATGGGGCTGACGGAGCGGGCAAGCGAGCTTTCTCCCACGCCCCCCTCTCCTCTCCACCTCTCCCTTCTCAAAATACTTCATGAAAGGCAGTATACTTGGATAAAGCCCGTGAAATAATAATAATAAAAAAGTATTGCAAAAACAGTTTGAGGCTTTATCCAATTTGTGTCTCGGTTTGAGGAAAGCTTGTGCTGGAAGTCGGTGGGACCTGTCACCTATACTTGGTTAACGTCTGTCGATGGCAGAGTGGGTCAGGCCGAGTTAGGGAGGTGACAGGCACTGGATTGGCTCTTAAGGCTTCAAAGGCAGCTTCAGTCTGTAGGTCTGAAGTTCCTACGATTTTTATCAAACAGGATCAACACATGATAAAGTTGTATGGGGTGTAGTGTAGTGTTTTGTTTTTATTAGGCCTCCTACTCCCCCCCCATCCCCCCCACCCCCGGGAACTTTGAGAGCCCACTGGCAGATGATGGTGCCGAGCGTACAAACTCAGGGGCTTCTGATGAAGCGGGTGTTGGCTGCTGGTCTAACACAAGCAGAACCAGGTGGAAACTGTGCTCCTAGTTTTTTTAAACGTGTCACAGTAGCGTCTCCCCCCCCCCCCATCACAGATGCCAGCCTGACATCCTGTGCACTAGCAAATATCCAAAGGAATGTGCTCAGAGTCCAAAGTGAGCTTGAGGACTCTCTAGTGTCCTGGCGTGTGGGGGACAGGTCCACCCGGGCCCAAATGAATCAAGCTGATGAGTGTGCAGAGCGCTATCAACCTGCATCTCCTCTGGGGTGTGAACCTCATGGGGGGTGTGGCTAACACATATCCTAGTGACCAGCAAATACCTCTATCCTCATGATGATTCTCAGAGGGGCCATCAGTTCTAAATAAAAAGGCGGAGATCTGAGCAGGTGCAGAAGCTCTTAGCTAAATGCCTCAATAAAGGCTTGTCTAAGAGTTTGACGGACATGCTTCATGCCAGGACAACGTCCTGTGGCAGAGAAAAACCAGAGAAAAAGCCAAATACTGAGCATAAGATAGCTGGTAAAACTAGCAAGAGCGGATTGGGGAACTTTGCAGGCCCTGCCTGGGGCTGGTCACTGCCTAGTTATCTATGAGAAGGCACTAGAAGGCTTCTATTTTTTCTTTTTATTTGACGTGTGTGTGTGTGTGTGTGTGTGTTGCCTGTATGTTGTGTGTGCTACATACATGCATTCCTGGTGCCTGAGGAGGCAAGAGGGCCCTGGATCTTCCTGGAATGGGAGTTGCAGTTGAGCGCCACCATGTGGGTGCTGGGAACTGGACCCATGTCCTCTGCAAGGGCAGCCAGTGCTCCTAACTGCCGAGCCACCTCTCACCCCACCCCCCAACTAAAACGTTTTAAAGGTGTGTTATGGATAATGGACCATGAGGGTGGATTGCCTTTTAAAGTTAAGTCCTCTGGGTACCCGGAGACAGATAAGGAGTTTTAAGGACTAAGGTGGTGGTGGCGGAATGTTAAGAACTGTGGTGTTAAAAGTGATGTTCTCAAGTGTGCTCATGGGTGACCTCTGACTTAGTTGGGACTAGATCCAGGCAAAGGCAATCCAGTTGACTCCCATTACATGATATTCATAACATATACTGAGTAAGTACTTGCCACGTGGGATGAGTGACCTAAAGGAGTCTGTAATGAGTCCAAAGACAAACCCAACCGCTAAGGTGGGTAGTAAAATAATTCAAGTTTAGTGCTGTCATTAATTTTCCCGGGGCAGCTAATTCTATCCCGGGGCAGAATGTGGGCACTTGGATACTGAACCAAGTGACACAAAGTTTGTCTTCCATAGCAACATTCTAGCACTGAGGCGTCACACCATTTATGCATGCGTCCGAAGTTTAGAGAGCATCAGTTTGAGACTGCGTGAAAAGCTAGCAGGAGACACTCCAAATACCACCTCTGCATGTTGAGAGGATTGGTTTTTGTGTAATTCTGAACTTTTCAAAGTTAACCGTAGACCACTTTGAAAACTAGGGGGTCGGGAAAGCCACACAGTAACTCTCGGCTCTTCCCTGGAGTGTAGGTGATGCTGCTGTGACGGTGATCTTTCCCAAAAGGTCCCTTAGCGATGCTTCAAGCCAGCATCCATAGGTGGTGAACAACAACAGCTCCAACCTCTGGGTCACAGAAAGTGCGGCAGCTCCAAATCCTGCTGTTATACTCTGGCTTCCTAAAGAGCGTCATGAGGAGACTGCCCAATCTATTTCCTAACCGTTTAAACTGGTGGATTGGGTGAAGAGGGTTGTTTGTAGCAAGTAAAGTGGAGGCATTGTAGGGAAGATAGTCCTCGTGGATCTGATTTCTGGTTTTGTAGGTGGGTTCACTTTTTAACACGCTGCCGGATTAGTTACATATAAATTGACTACCCGTCTTTGCACAATTTAAGTTTTTCTTCTTTTTTCAAGTGAAATTATATGTGAGAACTCTGCAGGTAACATGTCATCTCTAGTCATCTTTATTTTCTTAAGATACCACACAAAGCAGCTACAATGCTTTTTTAATTTTTTATTTTTAACAAAGAGGACGTAAGGAGGATGAGAAAGATGGGAGAGGGGGATGTGAAGTGTGGTGTGTCTCTGGACACCATCCCTGTGCCTGCCCCCCCAACCCAAAAGTTATTAATAATTTAAAGGACACCATTTACAGTACCAGAACACCATTAAAATAATTGGTTTTTTTTTTTATCTGGGTCAAAAAATACAGTGATTATGAATGTGCTGTGACCAGTTATGGAATTTGACAGGAAGCATAACTATGGCCAGCAGTCCAGCGACGTGCACAGTGCCTTCGATTAATGCACTTGAGCATAATTACATTTCTGTCAGGGCCCACACCCCTAGGAAAAGGCAAAGCGAAGCAATTCATTTCTCCATTCCAAACTCTGGAGTTCACAGAGCCCAGTTTGAAAATAAAAGTCACAGTGGATAAGAGATGCATATAAAAAATACAAGGTGTTCCTTTCAAATCAGGAGTCGTGGGACTACATTCATTTCCTTTACAAAATGCTATTTTTAAAAAAAGGACAGAGGATCCAGTGTGTGTTACGTTACACACTTAGACAGTGGAGGAGTATATTGCGTGTTTTGGGAGTCAGTCTTCAGGCTTTTGTCTTCCAAGGCTCCTCTAGCCTGAAACCAGCTGAGTCCTGCACCAACACACAATCCATCTGCACCTCTGGACGTCTGAGGCCCTCCGAGCCTGCAGACCACACAGTCCACCATCAGTGACCACAGCTTTTCCTTTAGCTCTGTACGTGTACTCTGGTATAACAGTGCGTGGCACGAATGTACAGGAAAATACAGGTTTTAGTCTATGCAGTATCTATAATAATTATGGAGTAAAATAAGTTAACTTGTCTAATGAGGGGCGCTGACGGGCAGCGCACATCTGTATTTTACATTTTAAAGTCTCTGCAGGCATCTACTTTGGTTAGTTATCAACAATATCAACACAAGCACTGATCAGAGAGCTCAGCAGCAGAGTCCAATAATATTAACAGATATATTATTTCTTTCTTTTTTTTTTTTTTTGAGACACTGGGAAAGCCCAGTTTTAAAATATTATTAAAGTGTTCTAACATTTACACACTATGAAGAGTTAGATCTAATAAAATAAAATTTCTTCAAAAATAATCTTGCAGTGCTCTTTTAGGCATGCTCTGAGAAGTTGTCACCAGACATCCACACTTTGGAAATCGGACGGCCACACGCTCACACACCCCAGCTCACACACACATAATTCCATATACAGACCAAGAACAAAACAAAACAAAACAAAAAAACCCCTACAAACACACACCCCCCAAACCCTTATCCCATACGTTGGGAGAAAACCAAAACAAAACCCCAGACCCAATGGTTTTTTGCAAATAAGTCTGTTATTTGTCGGACTGGATGGTCGTCATGTCGTTGATGATGATTAGCGTCAACTGTAGGTTATGTTGATGACAGCTAGAAATCCAGGTGACTCTGCAGGTGGCAGGTCTTCAGCTAAAATGAATTGGCCCCGATCCCAGCCTCACGTCACCCGCCCTGCCATGTCTTGGAGGCCATTATTGCAAATGTCTTCGGCATTCTATTCTTTCCTCCAGAGTAATGTACTCGTATGCATCTCTTTTAGCCCTTTTTCTTTTTTCACATAGGTTAAAAAAAAACAAAACTCCTTCTTCATACAGGTACTGTGGAGGTATAGGCAGCAGTTAAGCAGTTAGATATTGTTCTTCAGGGTTTTTTGTTTTTGATAGTTTGAAATTAGTAGACTACAATTGTAGGTGCTGCCCAAAAGTTATCAGTGAATCACAAGGGTTCATAAAAGGTGCTTGGTTAATAATCTTGATCATTTTCAGCTTTACTCCCTCTCTCTCTCTCGCGTATCAGAAGTTGCTCAGAATCCAGTGCTCGCCATATTTCCCACTGGTTTGGCCTGTGCTAGAAGTGGATAGGACTGCACCATGCGAAGAGACTCTCTGATCTCCAGGTTAAGTTCCATCAGTTTGGAGTTAGCCTCAGACATGTCCAGGTTTGAGCCGACGACCGCAAAGCTGCCCGTCTGGCCGAGGGTCTGATGGTGGAAGTAGATGTGTAACAGCGTCTGCACGGGGTCGTCTTCACAGCTGCCGAAGATGTCGTTGGGCCAGAGGGTTCTGGAAATACATAACGTTCAAGTTCTGAGATGTATGTCATGACTCTGTAAGCTACATTTTAGGTTAACGCCTGTGAACCAAACTGCCTGGCTAGAGTAACTGGTATCTGTTTATTACTGGAGGGAACGCACTACGGTGCTGTGCGGTCGGACTCCCCCACTTACCTAAAAGCTTTGACTTGGGCTACCGCAGACACAAACTCCTTGTTTTTCAAAGTTTCAATCAGAGAATGAATGGCGGTTTCTATTGTGGTCTGTGCAGCTTTGGAAATATCGATCTCTTCATTTTCCGAAGCCGCCTCGGCTTCCTTAAGGATACCTTCCAGCTGGGCAAGTTCCTCTGACATGTTGATGACCTAAAACAGATACGTCCTTAAAGATCTGTTCCTACGGCCAGGGATACACGGTCAGGGATAGAGCTGATGGTGGGGACTCTCTTTTTCAACAGGAATATAAATTAGCCACCAAAGAAAA